TGTAAATTGTTGGCTTCCCTTATGTCTTTGATGTACGTACAATTGACGATAGGGGCCACTATAGGGGTGCCGCCCACCTTTTGCAAACTTCCTCCTTTTCTAAGCCCTTTTTAAATTCCTTGAACAAAAGCCCTGCTAGCGGTTCTTGTTGATACCAGTTTGCGTCCAGTAGTTTGTTGTTCTGCTAAAATTAATACGGAAAAAAAAAATATCCCACGAAATGCAGCCAGAAGAAATATTAGCAACAGATGTTTTTATTATAGTATGAAAGCTTTAGTTTGCCAGCAAATTAAGTGGAAGAGAGCTGCAGGAAAGCTGTGCTGAGACCCCAAATTGCATCCAATAAAATTCCATTTCAGCTCCCAATCTCTTAATAGCTTTCAGTCTGTAAACTGACAGTCACTCCCAAATTAGCTTGATCTTTGCAATTATGTGTTTGCATGCTTGTAGTATTTTTAAATGGTTTAATTTAGCTGTTGTCAGAAACAGAGCAACAGGGACTCGGTGCAGAAATATGGAAATGTGCATGCTGTTTTGAGCATGTTTTTAAATTCTAGGATATCTCTCTCCCTTTCCCTCTCCCTCTTTTCCTCTCCCTCTCTCTCTCTCTCTCCCCCCTCTCTCTCTCCCATTCCTTCTCTCTCCCTCGCTCTCTCCTCTCCTCCCTCTCTCTCTCCCCCCTCTCTTCCTCTCCCTCTCCTCCTCTCTCTCTCCCTCTCCTTCTCTCTCTCCTTCTCCCTCTCTCTCCCTCTCCCCCTCTCTCTTCCTCTCCCTCTCCTCCTCTCCCTCTCTCTCTCCCCCTCTCCTCTCCCTTTCCTTTTTTCTCTCTCTCGCCCTCTCCTCCCTCTATCTCTCCCTCTCTCTCTCCCCCTCTCCCTCTCTCTCCCTCTCCCCCCTCCCTCTTTGGTTGAATTCATAGACTGCATTCAATCTGGACTTGTCTGTTTTTTGGATCAATGTAAAAAATATAGTTAAATGATGCTGAGGGCTCCATTGGGAGACTTGGTAGATTGTTGTGGAGAAAATCTGTGTGGTCTCTAGGAGGCTAAAGTGTCATAAGGGCACAGAGTCAGTAAATGGATAAACCAAGGTTAAGTAATACCAGAGTTGGAAAACACGATTTATTATTGCTAGCTTGCTGGTTACACTAGGTATGTCTTGCATCTAATCAGGCTTAAATATTGAATTCATGGTGGCATCAGCCAGACTTCCTGCTGCATCTTACAGCTGAGCACTTCGATTTGTTGGGTTGACCAAACAAAACTGGGCCAGCAACTTAGTCAACTTAGCTGTGTCCGTGGGGGTGGACACAAATCTTGTCCATCAAAACCTGGCTACTTTTAAAACTGGCTAGCTTTTCTCTTTGCAATAAGAGCCATCTAGGAACGCACGCTTCCGTCAGATTTCTTCTCGGTGTGACTGCTGCTCTACACAACCTGCACACACACCCTTGCTGATGCTACTGAGATAAAAATTCCCTCTTATTTCGGGATAGGTCTTTGGAGCTACGCTGTAATTTCAGAGCACGACAATCCTTTTCTTTTTTTTTTTTCAAACAAAGCTTTGATGTTTCCCCTCCTGACTCTGATGGGGCACCAGTGTGTGTGTGTGTGTGTGTGTTTACAGGCACGTATGCCTGAGAATGAGCAAGCCACTATTTATATGCAGACGACACCTGTTCTCACCAAAGCGGGCTGATGTAAGCTCCTGAGAACTTGGGGGCTTTCTCTTGCGGCGTAAAAAGAAAAAAGAAATTGCCCAGATGACCCATGCAGCTTGCTTTTCATATTTGTTGGGTGGCCCAAAGGGTTGAACTCTGATCCCCATTGCAGTAAAGGGAGCTAAGACTGTTAAAAATGCCGTAAGGACTCTAGAGACAGAAACATATTTGATCTTCCTTCACTTGTTCAACTGGTTAAGCTACACTAAATGCAATTTAGTGTCAGGAGACCAAAAGAAACGTCCACAATTCAGATATCCTCACAAAATAGACAGTGTGTTTTCTTTCTTTCTTTCTTTCTTTCTTTCTTTCTTTCTTTCTTTCTTTCTTTCTTTCTTTCTTTCTTTCT